ACATTTGGACATCTCGTCAATTTCCTTCATCTTGGCGTGATGCCATTGTTGTACCATACCTAAACCTGGACGTGATCATACAGATCCCTCAAATTATAGGCCCATTTCCTGACTACTAGTTGCGTTTGCAAAACCATGGAGCGCATGGTCAATAACAGATTAACTTGGTACTTAGAGTCCAATAATTTAATCACAAATATCCAATGTGGTTTTCGTAAAATCGCAGTACCATTGACCATTTAGTGCGATTGGAGTCATTCGTTAAGAATGCCATTCTTAACAAGCAGCATGCAGTGTCAATATTTTCGATTTAGAGAAAGCCTATGACACGACATGGAAGCATGGCATTTTACAAGATTTACATGATTTTTGGTTTACGAGGTCGTTTGCCTCAGTTTATATCCGAATTTTTAACTGATAGGCAATTTCAAGTCCGCGTGGGTTCTACCCTGTCTGACCATTATAACCAGGATCAGGGTGTCCCACAAGGTAGTATTTTGTCTGTCACATTGTTTAGTGTTAAGATCAACAGTTTATCCAAGGTCTTAAGTGATTTCAATCGATGGGTCACTTTTGTGGATGATTTTAATATTTCTTGTCGCGGTAAAAGTATGCATACTATTGAACGGCAACTGCAGTTGTGTTTAAACAAAATAGATAAATGGTGTCTTGAAAACGGTTTTAAATTTTCTAAATCCAAAACCAATTGTATCCATTTTTTGTAGAAAATATAAACCGCATAAAGACCCTGAACTGTCTCTAAATGGCTCTCCCATCAAAGTCGTTAAGGAAGCCAAGTTCTTGGGTTTAACTTTTTGACTCGCATCTAACTTTTCTTCCCCATATCAAGTCCCTAAAACTAAATGCTTGAAGGCACTTGACTTGTTGAAAGTCGTTTCCAATTCTAAGTGGGGAGGGATCAAGCTACCCTCCTACAATTATATCGATCATTGGTACGTTCCAAAATTGATTATGGCTCCATCGTGTATGGTGGAGCCTGCAACAGTAATCTAAAACTTTTAGATTCTGTCCACCACCAAGGTCTAAGACTATGTCTTGGTTCCTTTAGAACTTCACCTGTTGACAGCCTCTACGTCGAGGCTGATGAGCCATCTCTTACACAACGCCGTATAAAATTAACTTTACAGTATATTACAAAACTTTATTCCAATGGAGTCAAACCCTGCATATAACTGTGTCTTTAATCCCCGATATGAAGATCTGTATAACAAGAAGCCTTCTCTTGTTCCGCCTCTTGGTATAAGAGTGAAACCTTTCCTTTCTGCTGCTGGCATTGAGCTAGAACATATAGCTCCTTCCCGTCTTCTTTCTTCTCCTCCTTGGCAATTGGTTAGGCCACAAGTCGACCTAACACTCACTCAATTTAAAAAATCAGAAACTAATGACTTGCAATATAAACAAGAATATAATCAATTAAAAGTAAATATAATACGTATAAATCCTTATTTACAGATGGGTCCAAGGATGGTGGCGCGGTGGCATGTGCCACTGTCATTGGATCAGAACAATCTCCTCTCGTTTACCAGATAACAGCTCTATTTTTACAGCAGAAGCAAACGCCATATTAACAGCCTTAAAATATATTAAAAAACACCCTAAATATCAACAATATATCATCTTTTCTGACTCACTTTCTTGCCTTCAGGCTATTAAAAATATTTCTTGTAAACATCCACTTTTATTAGAAATTATTGAATTGTATAATGAGCTTGCAACTGGCCAATGCGACATCGTCTTTTGTTGGTTACCCAGCCATGTTGGCATTTCTGGGAATACAATGGCCGATCTTGCTGCTAAGGCAGCACTCAACAAATCTGTGACACCACTTCTTATCCCTTACTCTGATTACAAAGCTAGCATTAGAGCATACATCCGCGATCTAATGCAGAAGAAGTGGACACCCAAGTAGGTATTAATAAATTACATGCAATAAAACCCTACATTGGTTACACCTACTTGGGTTGTCAGTCCAGGTTTGAAGAGGTCATTATGCGGCGATGTCGCATTGGCCATACTAGATATACCCATGAATATTTGCTTAAAGGCGAAGATCCTCCGTTTTGCATCCCTTGTGATGAAAGAATCAGTCAAGCATGTCTTGCTTGACTGCATTGAATATTCCATCACAAGGGATGTCTATTTCAAATCAAAACTCTGAAGGATCTTTTTAATAATGTCAGTTCCCATTTAATTATTGCATTTTTAAAAATTAGATTTGTTGAGTGATTTGTAAATATATATATATTTTAGTATTGGTAGTTTAGATTAGCAACTGCGATTGTTAGTGGCTGTATCCTCAAAGGGGTTGAAGAATTGTAAAAGTATTGTCCTCCTGAGAGGGAGGGTAGAAGTCCCAAAACATTTAGTCAATCTAAGTGTACCTGCTTTTAATCGTAGAATAAGTGTGTTTTTAATTTATGGCTAGATTTCTCTTCTGTCGCCAATGGCTGAAGGGATGGTGTAAATCCACCTAGGGTCCATGCAGGTAGCAAAGGCACTGTAAGTCCCCATGGTCCCTAGTATGGTGATCTACCTTCAGTTGTTGGCGATCTATAGCCCATTTTTACATTGTATTGTCTTCTTTAATTGGAATGTTTTAGCTTTGTTCGCTAGTTTTATATTGATAGCTGTGATTATCTAGTATTTTTACTGTCCTTCGTTGACAGGGTTTTATATATTATATGTCTGTATTACAAATTTAGAACTAGTTTTAGTCACGATATGGCTGAGATATTGCCGATGTGACTTTAAATCTTAACTCACTCACTCACTCACTCTTCAGATTTAATCAATATCATTGTTTGCAAAAATATGTTTCATTCATTGAAATCAGGAATCAGATTAGGTGTGGAAAGTATGCAAACGGAAGAAACTGGGGTTCTCGTCCTTACAGTATGGCGTAACTTGTTCCCAATCAGTTGGTCCCTCTTTGAATACAAGCGATATTCATTATGAATTTCTATTTGCGTGACACACTATGTATATACGGAATGTCTGAATATTTCTGCATTTAATTTGGAAACTAAGGTTTGATTATTTGGGTATACTTTCATTCATAAACCTCTACCTCCAGTTATGTACAACAACGTTGACGGATGTTATCATCCAGATGTGGCCGACTTTTACATAATGACGTGTGAAGGAACAAAAATAGCTGTGAGCCTGATAAACATAAAGCATTGGAAACCAGTAATGACCCGAAAAGGGACCTGCCGTACAGGTATCACAGTCTGTTTTCTAGGGTTTAGTAGTAAATGTGAAAAAGAAACGTATTAACGCATATAATTAAGAATTATGATTACCAGTTAAATCAGCTTTGAAAATACTAGGTGCTAGTTCTTTCCATTGCAAAAGTGACAGATATGCATATGTGCGTGTAACCTTATCCATTTATGCTGCTACAAAACAGCAGTTATTACACTCTCCTCTAACCAAGTGAGTGAGTGAGTGAGGTAATGTTGACGCCACATCGCCAACATTAAAGCCATATCGTGACGAGAACAATTTAATTTATGTCAACATTAAAATCAATAAATTGAGAAAATAAAAACATATGTGATCGAAGGACAGTAAATACTAAAGTATCACAGCTCCTAATCTAAAACTAGTACGCTATCATATAAAAAACACATCACTATAGACAACAATACAATATAAAAACGGGCATTAGATCACCAGCAACTGAAGGCTGATCACCATACTAGGGACCAAGGGGACTTACAGTACTTTGGCTACCTGCATGGTCCCTAGCTGAATTTATATCAACCCTTCAGCACCTGACGATTTTGGTCACATTTAGCGAAACTTAAAATGACAAAAATGCTTCATTTAAAAATATTGGTAAATTTAAATTGCCTTTGAATGTTTCGGGACATACTTGTGATTATCTGTATGTAACCTTATTCATTAATGATACTACAGAACATCAGTTATTACACTCTGCTCTAATCAAGACGTACATGATGTATTCACTCTCCTAGTCTGACGATTGTAAATTACGGTCGATCCACTTCCGCTCTTCATACCAAAGAGAGAAACTCATGACGTATTTAAAGGACGACGGAAAGGTAATGGTGAGTTTGTGTCAAATTCAGGAACGCTAGCCTGACCCACAAGGGTGGAAAAGAAATTATTAACATGACTGAAGTTATAAATTCTTCCTTCGAAAACTGACAGTTTTCATCATTCTAAATAAGTATGATGTTTTCTTGATCTCAACTTGAAACATTTACTGTTGACACAACTCTATAAAGGATAGGATAACCAATCATGAAAAGTAGAACGTTTTGCTGGCAAGATGTCAATGGTTTATTCTCTCTATCATAACAACTAAACTAAATGTGTTAATACTACAATATGAATCTGTAGAAATAGTTTGATAATGTAGGTGCAAGCTAATAATATGTGTTTCGCGGAAAGAATCAACGGCTGTTGTATCAACTTCGTAGAAATAAAGCGCCAGGTCAGTCAGTGCTGATGGGGTTCTATGCACTCTCTACTTTCACTTTACACTTATTTGCTCTTATGTTGTTTGGGCAAGTACTGATCCAAACCTCGGAATCACTGTGTTTGGAATACCATGGAATTCCGTCATGGAATGGTAGAAATGAACAACCTTGGTTTCCAGTTTGACGTTGAGATGAATGCAGATTCACCCCAAGTTGCGAAACGGAACTAACGCAGCTCTACAGGGTGAACACATTTACTTCCTTATAAACTACTTACAAAATCTGAAAATCGGACTGCAAATATATTCTTTGTGGCGTTTTTGTATGTGGTTTTCATTAACCAGGAAGAGCAATTAGCTGGAAACGTCTACACCATTCCTTTGATAAGGTCTTCGCCCGGATTGTAGTAATAATCCATAAATTATTGATTTCTCCACTGGCTGTTTTTATGTTTATGTTTTCAAGTGTGTTCATGTTTTTTTGTAAAGACGCCATAACGTTAAGTGTGTATGTCCCGGAGGTAATAAGTGACATCTTCCGCGAGGGAAGGATAGTTCTGAGAGGTAATAATAAGACACATTATCGACGGTGTTTGGAGAGTTACCAGCAGCAGCCTTGACGATTGCATTCAGTGACAGGCAATGGTGTTTCTACAGTCAGTGAACATTTTGGAAATATGTGTCGTTTTACTTCATATTCTGTGTCCATTTGTGTACAACATGGACACTTGCACCAATGTGACATTCCACTGGAGGCCTGAGATGGATGATCTGGTGTTTACCGGGAGCCTGATAGAAGAGATGAACCAGGTGGACATGAGGGCTGAATGCTTCTCTCGGTGTCAGTGGCGGGTTCTGTGTAACCTGGTCTTGTACAACCCTCTCACCAAAACGTGTAGACTGCACTCCGAAGCTTTTGACCCCACCAGTGATGGTATATTCGAGAGTGGGTGGCAGTATTATGGGGGTGAGTTTCTATTTCACGAGAAGTAGTTATAGTAAATTATCGAGTCTTGACCAGACAATCCAGTGATAAACAGCATGATCATTGGTCTGCCCAATTGGGGACCGATGACATGTGTCAACCAAGTCAGCGAGCCTGACCACCCGATCCCGTTAGTCGCCTCTTACGACAAGCATAGTCGCCTTTTGTGGCAAGCATGGGTAGCTGAAGACCTAACCTTGTGGCAGAGTGAACCACTGTCGTCGGCAACAAAACAGGCGCCACTGCTCCATATGTATATGAATTACCATTATATTTTATTCTCATACATAAGTGACACCGTCTTTGCAGTACAAGGAAGTATGCGGTGATCTACATTTAGAGTGCAAGATATATTTGTGTTGGCATCGGCTTTGACTTTTGTCGAACATATGTTGCATTGTGTGTATGTTGAGATTTTGTAGATTTAACAACATGTTTTCTTCCTGATTCAATCAACGTGTAGACCAACTCATATTCTTGTGACCGCCTCCGTAATGTAGTGGTTACAGCGTCCGCCAGGACAGCGGAAGGTCGCGGGTTCGATCCCCGACCGCGTCATACCAAAAGACGTTACAATATGGTACTTGTTGGTCCCAGCCTGGCGCTAGGCATTAATGGGTACAACAAGGACTGGTCGGCTCGGAGTCAGTATAATGTGTCTAAGTGGGGTATTCATGCGTTACTGCGGCATGGTATCTCAGTGGGCTAGCACTATAAAACCAGCTTAAGTCTGGGCTAGTACAAGCAGCCGCACATACACATACACACGCATGCACGTCGTCATATGAGCGAAATATTCTTAAGCACGACGTTAAACCCAATTTCACCTCACCTCACCTCACCTCACCTCACGTCATATTCTTGTTTCCTCACAGACTGCCATATTATGGCGTGTTGCGTCAGGCCACAGGCTCTTACATTGTAAATATCATTATTACCAGACGTCCAGGTACCAAGGCCATTCCTACTCTTCAGTCATACACGCCAGCCCACTCTGCACTTGTGATATGTAGAAAGAAATGTACATAGTGCAGTGTCACTCTTCCATTATATCCGTTTCAGCAGCACTGGTTTCATTGGTTCAAAGATTTCAATTTCACCTCACCTCACCTCCACCTCACCTCACGTCATATTCTTGTTTCCTCACAGACTGCCATATTATGGCGTGTTGCGTCAGGCCACAGGCTCTTACATTGTAAATATCATTATTACCAGACGTCCAGGTACCAAGGCCATTCCTACTCTTCAGTCATACACGCCAGCCCACTCTGCACTTGTGATATGTAGAAAGAAATGTACATAGTGCAGTGTCACTCTTCCATTATATCCGTTTCAGCAGCACTGGTTTCATTGGTTCAAAGAAACTGATACTGTGTGGAAATGCATTTTCGAAATAGCCAAAACAAAATATGAATAAACGCAAACAAGAGATCAAATGAGTAATGGGCGAATATACAAAATGGCTGCCTTGGCAGCCATATTGAAGCAGTATTCGATCAACTCAGTGTACAGTAATTACTTTGAACAAACTTGTAACTCTCAATCTACACTGGTCCCTGGTATGGTGATCTACCTTCAGTTGTTGGCGATATACAGCCCCATTTTTATGCTGTACTGTCCTAATCTAAAATCCAATTTTAGAAAGAGATGCTAGTTTTATTTCTTGATACTGTGATATATTGTAGTCGGTTTTACTGTCCTTCGATGACAGGTTTTTATAATTTACATGTACTGATGGTGAATTCTAAACTTGTTTTAGTCACGATATGGCTGAAATATTGACGATGTGACTTTAAAGTTTAACTTAGACACTCACTCAATCTACACAGGCTGTGTGGTTTCTGCTGGTGGGTACCAAAGCATGCCCTATGCAAACTATTTATTTTAAAATATATCTTGCCGGCGCAGCAAATCCACTACTGTAGGAAATATATCTGATGTGTGTCTAGTCCGTCATTCCGACATCTCAGATGTGTGTGTCAGCTAATGTCCTGGGTGCCGTTCCACTAACCGATCTTAGCCCTATGCCAATCGTAAACACCTAAAATCCCAATCTTAGCGTGACGTTACGATCGGCATACCGTTCCACTAACCAATCTTACCCAAGTCAATCGTAAAGTTAAGATTCATGACCAACGTAGGATAGCTAAAAACAATCGTAGAGAAACCAAAATGGTGGCTTACCTATTCTATATGAAACATAAGAGCGAGCATTTCACCGTGAGCGTCCCCTAAAATGCCCCATGAAATGAATTTGTAGATTTCTGTGATGTAAACAAACACTGCACTGAAGCCTTACAAATGTCAGGCCAGTCTGACCACTGTCGTCATGGGAACACAACCGAACGAGTCGGTGTAACACATTTGTACAACAATATTGCAGCGTCATGGTTAAGAATAGGGACAGCCGTGAAGTGATCAATGTTCTGAAGCAAAAAGATACAAATATGTTTGATTTCACTGCGCATATTTGATGGGGGATTCTAAAGGCAGGCCGCGTGTTATTCAAGACCACTGACAGATTCTACATACGTTATAGCCTCCTCACGGCTTGTTTATTCTGATTGACAAGGTTCAGGCACATATTAAAAGCTCTGACACAATTGACATTTTTAAAGTTCAGACTTAAAACCTGTTCTCAGTATATTACTTATAATCTCGGCTGTAAACACTCTCGTGTAAATTATCTGTACATAGCGCTTTGAGCATGCCCCAGGATGTGGAATAGGCGCACTATAAATATGCATTTATTATTATTATATTACGCCTGATACCCGGCATTCACACGCACTTGCACCTGAAACCAAGGTGCTCACTACCCTAATATTTTGCTCTAGGTTTTTTCTCCACGTTTACACTTGGTTGGAAAAATACCCATGAAGGCCCGGATTAGAATATTGAACGTAAGAGGCCACTAACGGGATCGGGTGGTCAGGCTTGCTGACTTGGTTGACACATGTCATCGGTTCCCAAATGCGCAGATCGATACTCATGCTGTTGATCACTGTATTGTCTGGTCCAGACTCGATTATTTATAGCTAAGATACATAGCTAGATTATTTACAGACCGCCGCCATATAGCTGGACTATTGCTGAGTGCGGCGTAAATCTAAACTCACTCACTCACTCAGTTGGTTCGTAAACTACTTCCATCACTTGCTAGTCTATGCACAGGGAGATAACTCGTGCCTCGCATTCCTCTATCTCTCGCACGAAAGAGTCTCGATCTAAGCTTGGATCGGATCGTAAGATCGGGACCGGCTACGATTGGCCTAAGATCGGGTAGTGGAACGGGTGTAACTTTTAGCTAAGACGATTGTAAAATTGGCGCAACTTGCTAAGATTAATCTTAGATAAGATTGGTTAGTGGAACGGCACCCTGCATTGTAACCTTACTATATTCAAGTTCTGGTTTAGATCAAGGCGTTTTACTCTGTCAATCGTTAATAATTATTAGTAGAAAATGTCAAACACAGGTAACAGCGAATTACTACATGAAACAGCATCAGTGTGGCATGGTGTCTAGTTGTAAGTATAAAACCTACACATTGAGTCAACAAACGCAGGGAAATAGTCCGGGACATCACATTCAACCATCAGTTCCTTGAGTTCAATTAACAGTGGACACTTGGGTGAAAAGTAGTCGATATTATGGAAGGCAATTGTGACGAAACTAGCAGCAATTGACTTTGTTGAGAGTTATAGATTTAACTTGAGATGAAGTTTATTCAACCACGGACACCCCTGTTACCACAATTATCATGTTGTGATAGATTCTGGCTTTGTGTGCTGACGAGTTGGCTCCTCAGCCTGACAGTGTGGGTTAAAATTCCGGATAGGACACAATCTAACAACCACTATATAGTGTACCTTGCTGAAAAGGTGTTATCTCAAATATATCAGTTGTTGCTTTTTATACTTTTAACAGCAACGTTTACATTGGTGTAGAGAACACAAATTAGTTCTGAAAATGTCAACTGTGGATACAGAGTACATACATCAGTGATTACTTACACACGATGCTCTGCTCTTCGTTTACAGTTGCATGCGATAACTACAGATTGGCAAACAGTCAGGAGAACGTGGATGTCATTGCCACTGACATAGAGGACATCTGCAACACCAGCTACTTTACTGTCGACAGCAACATCTCTTCCTGTTTGAGAGGAGCATCGTGGAAAACGGTGAAAATAAAGTGCGTTCCTTGTTACAATGGCACCACCCAGCAGCCAATGGTAAGATATGCCATCATTATACATAAATACTATTTTCAGTGAAGTAAAATTCTGTGACCTCTTGTCAACGGAGCCAAAACATGGAAGAAGTTACAAACATTTAGCATTATATTTAATGCTCATAACCTGATTAAAAGTTATAATGAAAGTGACAAAAAGCCTCACCGAGACAAAAGAATGTGTGGGAACTGTGTAATTGTCTAACTTTGGTTAATCGGTCCTTACATGTAAATATGAGCTACATAAAGCAGGCGACAGCTCACAAGTCTACCTAGGGGAGAGGTATTTTTGACTTGTTAGAATTAATTGAGCAGGTATTGTACAACATGTATTCAATAGTTCAAGAAATGTCAACAGTGTATATCCTGCCTACATGTTCATAAGAACCCAATAATTGCAGTGCAATGTTAATCACGTTATACTTACAATGGCGGTGTAGACTGTAAAGCAGTGGAAACTGACAATAACGCCAGGTTAAGAAGTGTAAATTACGTCTGAAGGCTATATGCTGAATTAGTATTCCTGTTCGTGAAGCTCCCAGATTAGCATTGGCAATATAAAAACATCTCCTGCATCTTAACGGAAACAACGCAAGACAATGAGTTCATTTTTGCAAGAGACACAGAAATTGACACTGCTGTTGTTACAAGGACATAGCGTAGAGTCTCATTATAACGTTCCACTTGTTAGTTAGGTTTACAGTGATTACAAACTCGCATGGTTGATTAAAATCAAACTTAGTCTCAATTTTGTAAAGCCAAGCACGTAGTGTCTGCTTTTCGATCAATGTTCGCACAATAAGCCAATCCAAACTGCATTCTATACGTGCGTAAAAGTGTTTTAGTGTGGATCCAAGACACAATAGGCTAACGTTAGCAAGGGTCGTAAAGGAAGCAACTGTTCGTAGTGCAACATCGTGTACTGACTCTGGGGGACGAGTACGATGATACAAAACAGAATGTTGTCAAGTAATCCCATTACAAAAATAAATAGCAGAAATCTTGTAGTCATATATTTTATAGAAGAAATAAATTGATCATTGAGATTATCACATTATGGCCGACCTTGTGAATGACATGTGCCTAAATAGCTGGTGATCCTAATTTGAAGACAGTGTTGCCACATGCAATGTTATGTCAGATTTGGTTTTGCACAGAAATCATTGAACTAAGCATAACATTTCATCATACCCTTACTAACAAACCATTTGGTAATTTTCACCAACATTTCCTAGCGTGTTTTTGATGACGTCACGATTATTACATTAACCATTCAGTAATAATTTCAGGATCCATCAACATCTGTAACAGAAGATCTGGAGTTTGATCTCACTGCTGGAATGACGCTGAAGCTCAAAGAATGTCTGGATCCCGAACACATTTGTAAGTCAGTGAGAATCAACTGCTTGACGAAACATCAGCCATCATTGAGCTGTTCGTGGCAGGAAGTGTATTGTGTAAACAATACAACGAAGTGGGAGGGGATATATTTTAGCTCCGTCCGTCCGAGATGATGGGGACAGATTTTCTCAAAACACCTTATAGATAAGGAAATGAAATTTGGTAGTTGTTTTCAGGACACAACTGCCTTGATCGAGTTCGAACACGGAAACCGTGCTAAAATTTGTTACAGAGATATGACCCTTGTGATGCGTTTCTTAACTTTTTGCACGGTATCCCCAAGGAACATATTTTGTCAGTAACCGTTATAGATTGGGAAATCAAATGTATTTGTGTCGTAGAACAGAGCACACATCCTTACACTGCACCCACCATCGACCGCCTCTCCCCAGACATGTAACTGAATACTTTTACACTGCAGTAACCACGTATGGCTTGATGCATCCCAATCAGGATGTGGTCTACCTGTTGTCACTGAGATGGGATTGGCCCACAGTTGGGGAATTTAAGATTATCTTCAACAGACGTCAAGCAAACATTTGGGGTGATGAGTTTCGGACCGACTTCACAGCAGACAACTCCGACAACTACGTGGTAAGACATAATCATAACAGAGACGTCTTTCCTGGTAGGTTGGTTGTCTCGAGTTACTCAGTACAAGAGGGTTTGACTGGGTTGATTGTTGATCTACACATGTCTCTCCTGGTAGGTTGATTGTCCTTAGTCATAAGAGGGTTTGACTGGGTTGATTGTTGATCTACACGTGTCTCTCCTGGTAGGTTGATTGTCCTTCGTCACTTCAAGAGAGTTTGACTGGGTTGAGTGTTCATCTACACATGTTTCTCCTGGTGGGTTGATTGTCCTTAGTCAATAAGAGGGTTTGACTGGGTTGAGTGTTCATCCACACATGTTTCTCCTGGTAGGCTCATTGTCCTTAGGGCCTTAGTATGGTGATCTACCTTCAGTTGTTGGCGATCTATAGCCCATTTTACATTGTATTGTCTTCTTTAATTGGAATATTTTAGCTTTGATATCTGTGATTATCTAGTACTGTTACTGTCCTTCGTCGGCAGGTTTTATAATCTCTATATATATTCTATTTCAATGTCAAGCTGTTCTCGTCACGATATGGCTGAAATATTGCCGATGTGACGTTAAATAATAACTCACTCACTCACTCACTCACTCACTCATTGTCCTTAGTCACTAAGAGGGTTTGACTGGGTTGATTGTTGATCTACACATGTCTCTCCTGGTAGGTTCATTGTCCGTAGTCAATAAGAGGGTTTGACTGGCTTGAGTGTTAATCTACACATGGCTCTCCTGGTAGGTTGAGTTTTTTTCTGAGTAGAGTGAGTTAGTGAGTTAATATTTAACGTCACATCGGCAATATCTCAGCCATATCGTGACGAAAACAATTTATACAATAAATAGTGAAAATACTTTGAAGAATAAAACCTGTCAACAATGGACAGTAAAAACGCTAGAGAATCACAGCTATGAATATAAAACTAGAGAGCAAATCTAAAACTTTCAAATTAAAGAAGACAATACAGTATAAAAAACGGGCGATAGATCACCAACAACTGAAGGTAGATCACCATACTAGGAACCATGAGGAATTACATTACTTTTGCTAGCTGCATGGAAACTAGCTGGATTTACACCATCCCTTCAGCCGCTGGCGATTGTAGGAACATTTAGCAGGCAGTTAAAATAACAAAGATTCTACGTTTAAAATATGGTCAATTTACATTTTACTTTGAAAGTTTTGGACTTACGTACCCTCCTCAGAAGGACAATAATTTTTACAGTACTTTAACCCCTTTGAGGGTACAGCCACGAACAATCTAAGGTTCTAATCTAAATTAGCAATCTTTAAAATATATCTATTTACAAAACACGTCAATCAGAATTCATCAAATAAATCTATTTCTTTTAAGAAACCAATAATTAAAAACAATTAACAGTGGTAAAAAGAACCTTCATTGTTTTACATTGACATATGTATCCCCTTATGATGTCACCGAGTAGAAGTGGGTGTGACTGAGCTGAGTGTTGATCTGGATATGTGTCTCCTGGTAGGTTGGTTGTCCTGAGTCATCGAGTAGAAGAGGGTGTGACTGAGTTGAGTGTTGATCTAGACACATGTCTCTCCTAGTAGGTTGATTGTCCTGAGTCACCGAGTAGAAGTGGGTGTGACTGAGTTGAGTGTTGATCTACACATGTCTCTCCTAGTAGGTTGGTTGTCCTGATTCACCGAGTAGAAGTGGGTGTGACTGGGTTGAGTGTTGATTTACACATGTCTCTCCTAGTAGGTTGGTTGTCTTGAGTCACCGAGTAGAAGTGGGTGTGACTGAGTTGAGTGTTGATTTACACATGTCTCTCCTGGTAGGTTGGTTGTCCTGAGTCACCGAGTAGAAGTGGGTGTGACTCAGTTGAGTGTTGATCTACACATGTCTCTCCCCGTAGGTTGGTTGTCCTGAGTCACCGAGTAGAGGTTGGTGTGACTGAGTTGAGTGTTGATCTACACATGTCTCTCCTGGTAGGTTGGTTGTCCTGATTCACACCGAGTAGAAGTGGGTGTGACAGAGTTGAGTGTTGATTTACAAAATGTCTCTCCTGGTAGGTTGGTTGTCCTGAGTCACCGAGTAGAAGTGGGTGTGACTCAGTTGAGTGTTGATCTACACATGTCTCTCCTAGTAGGTTGGTTGTCCTGAGTCACCGAGTAGAAGTGGGTGTGACTCAGTTGAGTGTTGATTTACACATGTCTCTCCTGGTAGGTTGGTTGTACTGAGTCACCGAGTAGAAGTGGGTGTGACTCAGTTGAGTGTTGATTTACAAAATGTCTCTCCTGGTAGGTTGGTTGTCCTGGAGTCACCGAGTAGGAGTGGGTGTGACTGAGTTGAGTGTTGATTTACACATGTCTCTCCTAGTAGGTTGGTTGTCTTGAGTCACCGAGTAGAAGTGGGTGTGACTCAGTTGAGTGTTGATTTACACATGTCTCTCCTAGTAGGTTGGTTGTCCTGAGTCACCGAGTAGAAGTGGGTGTGACTCAGTTGAGTGTTGATTTACACATGTCTCTCCTGGTAGGTTGGTTGTCTTGAGTCACCGAGTAGAAGTGGGTGTGACTCAGTTGAGTGTTGATTTACACATGTCTCTCCTGGTAGGTTGGTTGTCCTGAGTCACCGAATAGAGGTGGGTGTGACTGAGTTGAGTGTTGATTTACACATGTCTCTCCCCGTAGGTTGGTTGTCCTGAGTCACCAAGTAGAGGTTGGTGTGACTGAGCGGAGTGTTGATCTAGGCATGTTACTGCATGCAGTGTTGAATGACATACGTCTTTCTAGGTGAAGTTTTTGTTTGTGTGCTGGATACTGATATATACTATGTTAACGTGCGAGTTAAGTCATTAGATCAACCCGTGATTTCCATACTTTTATTTTGTTAATATGGTACTATATATTTCAGACTTACGTTGATGGAACTCTGTGGATGACGAACCCAATCAGCTTCCCCCTGAGTGGTATCCGACATATAGAGTTTGATGGACTTACTGCCCTACATGAATTCACAATCGGGAAGGGAATGTGTTGAGGAAAGTGAAACACGCCAATTCAGCTATATATCTAATCTGAGATTTTTCGTTGTGGTCGTTTGTTTACCCTCGTCAATGTTAAGATGAGATTGCAACATTTCTCATGCTCACGCCAGATGGTTCTGACAATGATAGAATTGACATCATGTTCACCCATCCACGCAATGTGATGGTCACTTTTGGAACTGCTTGAAGCGTGTTTCGACGTTGTTGACGTTGGCAAGGTAGCGTACCGTGATGCGTGCTGTATGTGAACGAGCGTTGTCATGTTGGAACAACTTTCTCTGTCGGTTCATAATCGGAAGCATATGACCTGCAAGGGTTTCGCTGATGTACCATTTTGTTGTGAAATTCCCCTGAACCACCACTAAATCAGATCTTTGTGTGTTTGATATTTCACTCAACACCATGACACTGTCTCCACCGAATCTGTCGACCTGTCAAAGGCAATTAGGGGCAATTGATTTCTCCGACGGTAAACACGCTGTCTCCCATGCCGTTGGTGAAGAGAAAGCGTGATTCATCACTGATCCAGTTTCTAAGGTTCTAGTTCCAGACCTTACGACAGGACCGCTAGCGATTATGCCGATTGAAGTCTCTAAAAACAGTGGCGACAACTGGCCTTCTTGGTTGAATCACCACTTGATTTGCACAGACGTCGTGGACAATTCTGACCCATCATTTTTTTTCAGTGGATGTCGACAGGAAAAGGTCGCGGCATTTAACAAACCAGTGGCTTGATTTAACACATAATGCTTTCGCCCACTTACAGTCGATCTGAATGGTTCTCTCCAATACGATTTTAGAGTGACATTTAGAATATCGATCCTGAAAGAGATACTATGCGATATCCAGAGGGATTTACAACATATCGGTACACATGCACTAATTATTAAGACATATCTAGGTATCATAACACATTGTTTCTGGTGGTAAGACATTTTTCATTATTAAAGTCATCCTCTGCAGATATATTACTCATTGGTGAGTTTCTGAAGGTCTCTTCACAATCTGGCTGACATAACGCCGACGTGACGTATATTACATCACGTATAGGTGTTTGCCCTTGCTGTCTGTCGGGTAACATAGAATAGTACAGCCATGTGACGCTCGACTCCCCACAATACGACGGTATCGGTAGAATCACATTTGGTATCGATCTTCAGCAAACCATGCCTGTCGTAAGAGTGAGTGGGTGAGTTAAAGTGCATCAGTACTATTCCAGCCAAATAGCGACGAGACCAGACAACTACATCATAATTTCAAATCTTGAAATACATATGTCTTCATTACAGTGTTATTTGCAAATAGAAATTAAATAACACCACATGTAAAAACTGACAATTGGTCGCACATACATAATTGCAATTGATGATAGCGACCAATTTCTCTCCAGTTGTTCAAAATGACATGCCCACTCACGCGAGGAAAACAGATCCTTCAGATGTATTGCTCCATAATGTGAGTCCATTGCATTTGGAAAATCCACAGTCAAGCAGAAACCGCCAGCCATGTATACACTGCATACAAGGTCTTCTAAACTTTAATAAATGTTCACTTTCTTCAAACTTGTTAACCTCCATCTTCCATCAATTGTATGGAAACATTTTACTCGTTACAAAATAAGGCAGTCTTACATCCACAGAGTCTACATACTGACCCCCTGTGCTATGTGATATGCAAGGATTTATTCAGGGTCAACTAAATATGATTGCTTTGATTCTCCATGATAAAACTGAAGTTTCTTGAAAATATTTTTACTGCTCATGAAATCTGTCATCCCTGTGGCCTTGACAACATACAGTACGGATAGTTACCAAAATGTTTAGATCCATATTTTTGTTTGTTGAGTTAAGTTCAGTTTTACGTCGCAACGGCGTTATTCCAGCCATATAGCGACGAGACCAAAACCACATGGCGTCGTGTGTCTTTACAGAAACATCAAGCCGACTTGTAGACTGCCAACATAAATAATATGAGCTATCAATACCGCCCGAATGCGTCCGTTGTTCATTGTGAGAACAAGACTTGACAATGAAACTAAAAAATAGCTAATGCATCGGTTGTGTTAATTAACTCACTTACAAAACCTGTAACATAGGTGACGCATAACATTGACGCCGTTACCCGGAACACATTGTCTTGATGGCATGACGATACATGAATCGTTTAAAACATTAAACATGATGCAACATAATCGTAATGTGGGCCCATAATACCATCACACCCATTAACTACCCTCCAGCATGTCTACAATAGCATGCAGTATTGAGATCATTGTTTCATGTATCGATTTGGGAGATCAAGTATCATCTCTGATTTTAATTGATCCATTCATACACTGTAAGTTCTAACCGCTTCATATAACTCTCCTTTCACTTTCATAACAAAAGCTTCTGTTCGATTTGACAATCGATAGTGCTTGTTGTCTGGCGTTGATGATTTCAACTTCACTTGGGTCGATGCGTCTGCTGCTGGAGGATTTAAGTCCTCGGTGGCGTTTCTCCATTAAGCTGAATCAGACATAAATACAACATTGACCCGACAAAAGACAGTGTGAGTCCTGACATTAAACTACTCACCTCTTTGTTGAACATTTTGTGAGTTAATATTTAATAGTTTTACTTGTCCAATCCCTGACTGTCTGGTTAGAGAGAGAGAGAGAGAGAGAGAGAGAGAGAGAGAGAGAGAGAGAGAGTAAAATATATCGTTTTGACAGTGAGTTTCTACAATCCCTTGACGTCATCAATTACATGAATCACAATACTATGACATCTTAAACTTGACGACGTCGCAATGCTGCAAATGTAATGACAGTACCGTGTTCAGAGCTGTACATGTTTCATTGGAAACTAATGAAGAGTGATTTTTTTTATGATAAATAGAATCTCACCCTCGTGTTCTCTGATACCAAACATACCAACACTCGTTATTTACAGTGCCAAAAAATATAAATGTAACTTCATCAATTCCTGTTGATATACAGTGGAAGCCCTCTAAACCGGCACTCGTTGGGACCGACAAAAAAATCCGGTATTGAGGGAGTGCCGGTTTAGAAGCTTCTATCGGGACCAAATTCTAGTGCCGATATCGAGAGCATGCCGGATTGGAAGGCTGCTGGTTTAGAGGGCTTCCACTGTAATTGATATCAGTTGATACTTGGGTGATATTTTCTATATATCCAGTACGTAGCACGCATTTGTAAAGACACTGTTAGTTTACCTAGAGAAGTAAATGCGGATTAGAATACATGCTTGTTTGTTTGTTATACAGTAACATGAAGTATGGACTAGATACACCCTGCTGCAGGTCAGATTCTCGTGGCGGGCGTACTCGATAACATATGGATCGAAGGAGGCAATAGTTATATTCTTGTGTACAGAAACAAGAGCTGTTACACGTTTTCAAGAGTTACACATTTGCATCAGGCAGAAGTTAAGGGTCTTAATGGTAATGGGAATATGTTGCTTTGAGATACATAAACATTGAATCATTCGATGGTATGCTGCTTTGGCTTTTTGCTAATAGCTTGATTGTAGAAGGAAGGTATTTCACTCAGGATAAAGTGCTACTAATGGGCTCTTTTATATATGCACACTCTATTACAAGAGACCCGTGAAGATCCGGGGTAGAATAGGTCTTCAGCAACCCATTCTTGTCATAAAGGCGACTATGCTTGTCGTAAAAGGCGACTAACGATATCGGGTGGTCAGGCTCGCTGACTTGGTTGACACATGTCATCGGTTCCCAATTGCGCAGATCGATGCTCATGCTGTTGATCAGGTGATTTTCTGGTCCAGACTCGATTATTTACAGACCGCCGCCATATAGCTGGAATATTGCTGAGTGTGGCGTAAAACTAACCTCACTCACTCACTCACTATTACAAGACGTTGCTCCTACAAGACATGTGTATGGACCGTGGACTGTTGCTGTGAACGTTGTGCACTTACACACATGATGTAAAGTAAAGACACGCCAGTGTGCTACACATAATCAATTTCTCAGGCAGAGAGTGCTTATGGCACATTTGCTTTAATGCCTTTAGACTTGGAATAAGTGCACGAAATTCAATTTGAAAACAATAAAGGTTACTCCTTAGCATGTTAAGAGATATGGTTAATGTCACAGGACCACCTGTGACAGGCCAGGAGATGTGTTTCACTGGTTAAAGCATTCGGTTAACACTAGTCTTGATCAGTAAACAATGCTCTCTTCAACAAGTACCACCATGATCGTATTTCAAACGGCTAACATTTTGTTTTTAACAGTGAAATTCCAATTAGCTCTATTCCAGTCACTCAATAGTACGGACACTTATCAGAATGTGGCATTCTACAGGCGGCCTCAGATGGATGATCTGGTGTTTACCAGGAGCCTGATAGAAGAGATGAACCAGGTGGACATGAGGGCTGAATGTTTCCCTCTATGTCACCGTCGAGAGTTGTGTAACCTCGTCTTGTACAACTCACTCACAAGGAAGTGCAGAGTATACACTGAAGCCTTTGGCTTGATCAGTGACGGCACAGTTGAAACTGGATGGCAGTACTATGGAAGTGAGTATTAATGAATCATTAGAAAATACCCATTTTAATATTCTTTTAAAATGAATGTGATGTGTGGAGTTACCATTTTCTTAGGCTCTCACACAATTCTTTCGCGATGTTACTACAAATTTCCACTTGTTTTGAGACATCATATATTGCAATCTTTAATGATATTTTAAGAAAATACTGTCTTATGATACCGCAATGTTGTGTTACTCATACAACGATACAACTGTTCAACAAAAGTAATGCAGGAAATGATCTCGATTCGGTAGCAGTGCAGATAATTTTTATTTTCTTTAAACGGTAAGGTTGGTTTAAAAACGTTGTTGGTCTTTTGTCTACTTCTGAATTATGTTCTATTCATCTCATGGGTGTACCAAAGAGGAATTCTGAATATAGCTCTGAGTAGGTGACCAATGAAGAATCGGTCAAAATGTTCACCAGTAGTAAAGTGAGTGAGTGAGTTAAGATTTATAGTCACATCGGCAACATTTCAGCCATATCATGACTTAAAAAGTAATACATTGATAAAAAGTGCACCAGTGGTAAAGATAATATGATGACGAGTGCCTCTAAACGAATATAACCATTTGAATTTTGGGATCGAGAGTCCATCATCAAAACTTTTATCTGGACAAATTGGAATTTCAATCAACCATTGAAATGGCCCAGGCAGGGGCTTCATGGCTCAACCTTTACTAAATGAAATTTAGACTGATGATATTTTGAGCGACTTGTGGACAAACGTCAGTAGTTTGAAGACTATTCTTTGTCTCACTGGAAGCCAGTGTAGTTCTTTCAGTACAAGTGTCATGTGCTCCTGTACCCTGGTCCTGGTGATGGGTCTGTCTGCACAATTTTGTACTCGCTCAAGTGTTAATCTTGTGCTTCATACTAAGGACTGTTGCTGTGGGACAAAGAAAGGATCAGACATTTCACGGTATTCCTGTCTCAATATTTGTTCGTTTTTCCAATGCTCAAGATATGATAGTATGCATTTTTGTAAACGTTGCTCACATGCTTGTTCATGCTGGAGGTTGAGTAAAAAATCACACCCAGATTTCGAAAATTTGGACTTGGGTCGATTGTGACTAGTTTCCGTATTGACTTCATTTGGGATGGCGATATCACAAGAGACTGGACTTTGTCACCAGTTAGTTTGAAAAAGTTGTTTGACATTCATCGCCTGATATCTACAATGCATTTTTAATCCTTTCAAAAGTGACCTCAACTGAAGGTGGCACCAATGGCTTGGGTGTCAGCTGGAATCTGAGACATTGTTTCCTTGCAATGTCTGCAACAGGGATAGTGCATACAGCAAAAAGTACTTGGTCCAGGAATACAAAAACCCCCTCCATTTATGAGAACGGATTGTTGTCGATCTGCAAGGTATGATGATAACTACGGTAAGACATCTCCACTGACGCCAATACCTGATTCCAGCGGCACCCGTGAAGAGCCACCTCCTCGTGGTGGGTGCTGGGTAACGCCAAGAGCTCTTCGACCCCCCGTTGTGGACCCGGGGAATATTTGATCCACCAACCCACGTTTGCCGTGGGTTGCGCCATTGTGTCGGTTGAGGACGGGAAGCTGGTGGTTGAGGGCACTGGGACCTGGAACCGTGTTCCTTTTGCCCAACACACCACTTCGCCCCTTACTTCACCTAGATGGGTGGTAGAACTGGCCCGGTTCTATCAATCGGCTGGTCACGCCAAGCCCTGTGCATGGTGAATATTGTTGCACATTTCTATTATTGGGTGTTGGTTGGCTGGTTAAATGTTCAACGTTCAAATTATCAATATATGTCAATGCCTAGTGTCCTATGCCAGAAGGCGGTGGCTCATGGGCCAATCTGGTGATGTTGACCTCCAAATTCGGTATGTATCCTGTTTATCGTCATGGGCAGAACCAGCCTGGCAGTAGATTTGGTATACAAATACTGCTATTTGCGTCATATTCACTTGAGTATATCAACCTTGTATCCCTGGTGTTTGCGTCTTGGATATCCGTCGCAATTACACACTGTCCTGGTTGACACTCTGTGGTAGTCGGGGAGCAGGGTTGATGAAACATTTACTTTCACCATGGCTCATAATCATACTGGTTCCAAGCGTAGACATTTAGAGTCAAGTTCATCTGATGAGAGTACTACAGAGTTTGATTCCTGGGCTGGATTCCTCTTGATAGAAGCTAAATACCATTTGCCTATTAAACTCAACCCCTTTGCCATTTCAAAGGCTATTCATGGATATTGTGGAGAGGTGAAGAATGTCACCCGACTTCGCTCTGGCTCCTTGCTTGTCGAATGTGTAAGGAAACAACAATCCCTGAATCTGTTATCGATTCATCAATTTGCCAATATTGAGGTTGTTGTTTCCGAACACAGGACACTTAACTCCTGCAGAGGCATTGTTCGGGATGTAACATTATGACAAATTAGACTAGTTATGTAAAGCTGTAAGCAGGGACTATTTTCTGTAGCCGCATAGCATGAAACGGCGTAGGTATATGTTTCGCACTAGACATGTGCGCCCGAATGCAGTGGTGAATAAAAGTATCAACTGATCTTTGGAAGATGTTGTCTATCTCCCGATACAACAACTACACATAAAATATGACACGCAACAGGACCCGTTCCTTGTCCGACATGTCGGAACAAGACATAGCAGCAGAATTGAAAGATAAAGGAGTGTCTTCGGTGAAACGTTTCACCAGAAAAAGGCAAGATTCAACCATTGAACAAACAAATACCTACTTGTTCACTTTTGCAAGGTCCACAATACCACAGTCAATCAAAGCTGGTTATGTCAACATCGGAGTGAAGGTGTATGTCCCCAATCCATTCCGGTGCTTTAGATGTCAGAAGTTTGGCCATGGCTCCAAGAACTGCACTCGTCATACGGTTGCCAACACTGCGGTGACAATCATGAAAATCCTGATTGCCAACAAGCACTCAAATGTGTAAACTGTGATGGCCAACATTTGGCATCCTCAAAACTCTGTCCTGTTTGGCAAACAGAATAATAAATCCTAATAAAAAAGTTAAACAGGAAACAATCGTCCAGGAATTCTTCTCAGTCAGAGGTGCCTGTCCAGAACACCTACAGTGCTCTAGACATGGACATTACTCCATCATCACAGAGTTCTGTGAGGAGTTCTTCTCCATCACGTCCGCGTGAGAGATCACCCATTGAACCACCATGAGTCAGCATTCTGTCTACAAGAACCGTATCTCAAACATACTGATACATTTGATTTTAGGTAGTACAAGTGTCATCACTCATTTTTTCTCTTCCAGGAGATAGAGCAACTGGTGGTGCTCCTATACTAGTCAGAAATAATGTCATTCATAGTGACGTTCACCTGAAAACTAATCTTCAAGCTGTAGCTATTCGCCTTACTTTGCAAATTGCATTTACCCTATGCTCACTATACATTCCACCTTCATCTGCTCTTCGACAATCTGATCTTCAGAATCTATATGATCAACTACCTAAGCCCTGTATCATCATGGGCGATCTGAACGGGCACAACCCTCTGTGGGGCACTACAAGTACAAGCAATAAAGGTAAGGTAATTGAAGATTTTATTTCTGATAATAATTTATGTGTGTTTAATGGTGAATCAAGCACCTATTTGCACCCTGCTACAGGAACCTATTCTTCACTTGATCTGTCCCTTGCAGATGCGACTGTTTACAACGAGTTTGAATCGTCTGTTCATGATGACCTTTGTGGAAGCGATCACTTCCCTACTGTCCTGATAGCTATCAGACCGGATGATGATCCACCTTCATCACGGTGGAATTTCACCAAAGGCCAACTGGTCCTTATTTGAAATAATGTGTGTAGACAAAATGATACCGGACAACTTTGATAATGTATCAGATCCAATACAGCTGTTTTCCGCTGAACTGAATACAATTGCTGAACAAACAATTCCTAAGTCCTCTGCAAATCCTCACATTCGTAAACCATGGTTTAACAATGAATGCAAACAAGCCAGGAAATGTAGGAAGAAGGCAGAAAAACATTTTCGCCGACATCCTACTGTTCATAATTTGAACAAAGTTAAAATTACCAGTGCCAAGGCACGACGGGCATATAAGCAAAACAAGCGCCAATCTTAGAGAAACTATGTCTCCAAAATTAATTCGCGCACACCACCCATGTCTAAGGTGTGGAACATGGTTCAGAGAATAAAAGGCAAAGGCTCCAAATCTGCTGTTCATCATCTTAAAGATGGTGACAATTTACTAACTGACAAATGCAACATTGCAAATAAAATTGGTGAAACTCTTGCCAAAAATTCATCATCGGCAAATTATGTCCCTGAGTTTCAGAGATATCAGAAACAACAGGAAAAGACAAAACTTAATTTCGAATCAAATAACGGTGAGGGATTATAATGAAGTGTTTTCATTACATGAGCTACATACTGCTCTTGAGCAAGCTCATGATACTGCAGTGGGTGATGACAATATACATTACCAGCTACTGAAACACTTACCGGAACCATGTCTGATGACACTTTTAGATATATTTGACCAAATATGGACGTCTGGAGAATTTCCTCCTTCATGGCGTAATGCCATTGTACTCCCAATACCAAAACCTGGCAAGGATCATACTGATCCGTCGAATTACAGACCGATATCTCTAACTAGCTGTGTTTGTAAAACCATGGAACGTATGGTGAATAATAGATTAACTTGGTATTTTGAAACCAATAACCTTATAACAAATATTCAATGTGGTTTCAGGAAAAATCGTCGTACCATTCATCATTTGGTACGCTTAGAATCCGTTGTTAAGAATGCCATAGTAAATAAACAACATGCTGTATCAATTTTCTTTGATCTTGAGAAAGCTTATGATACGACCTGGAAGCATGGCATTTTGAAGGATTTACATGATTTCGGTTTAAGAGGCCGTTTGCCTCTTTTTATATCACAGTTTTTAAAAGACAGGCAATTTCAAGTCCGAGTTGGTTCAAACCCTGTCTGATCATTATAATCAGGATCAGGGTGTCCCACAAGCCAGTATGTTGTCTGCCACTTTATTTAGTATCAAGATCAACAGTTTATCCAAGGTTTTAAACGATTCAATTGATGGATCACTTTTGGTGGATGATTTTAATATTTCTTGTCGTGGGAAAATATGTATACTATTGAACGGCAATGGCAATTGTCTTTAAATAAAATAAATAAATGGTGTCTTGAGAACGGCTTTACATTTTCTAAATCCAAAACTAATTCCATACATTTCTGCCGTAAATATAAACCACATAAAGACCCAGAACTATCTTTAAATGGCACTCCCATCAAAGTTGTCAAGGAGGCCAAGTTCTTGGGTCTAATTTTTGACTCCCATTCAACTTTTTTCCCGCACATTAAATCCCTTTAAAAGCCAAAATGCCTGAAGACCCTTGATTTGTTGAAAGTTGTTTCCAACTCAAAGTGGGGAGGGATCAGGCTACCCTCCTCCACCTATATCGATCATTGGTCCGCTCAAAACTTGATTATGGCTCCATCGTATATGGTGGAGCCTGCAACAGCAACCTAAAACTACTTGATTCTGTCCATCACCAAAGGCCTGAGACTTTGTCTAGGGGTCCTTGAGAAACTCTCCCCATTGAAAGTCTCTATGTTGAGGCTGATGAGCTATTAAACTATCATTACAAAACTCTTGTTCTAACGAGTCTAATTCTGCATTTAACTGTGTTTTCAATCCTCTTTATGAGGATTTATACAACAAAAGTCTTCTCTTGTTCCGCCTCTTGGGCACAGAATTAAGCCATTAATTTCTACTGCTGGCATTGAGCTGGAAAATATAGCTCCTTCCCGTCTTCTTTCTTCTCCTCATTGGCACTTGGTTAGGCCACAAGTTGACCTAACATTAACAGCCTTTAAAAAAAGCAGAAACTAATGAATTACAATATAAACAAGAATATAATCAATTAAAAAGTAAATATAATACATATAAATCCTTATTTACAGATGGGTCCAAGGATGGTGGCGCGGTGGCTTGTGCCACTGTCATTGGATCAGAACGATCTCCTCTCGTTTACCAGATAACAGCTCTATTTTTACAGCAGAAGCAAACGCCATATTAACAGCCTTAAAATATATGTTTAAAAACCCTAAATATCAACAATATATAATCTTTTCTGACTCCACTTTCTTGCCTTCAGGCTATTAAAAATATTTCTTGTAAACATCCACTTTTATTAGAAATGTTTCAATGATATACTGAGCTTTGCAACTGGCCAATACGACATCGTCCTCTGTTGGTTACCATGCCACGTTGGCATTTCTGGGAATACAATGGCCGATTTTTGCTGCCAAGGCAGCACTCAACAAATCTGTGACACCACTTCTGATCCCATTCTCGGATTACAAAGCTAGCATTAGAACTTACATCCGCGATCTGATGCAAAGAAAGTAGGATGCCCAAGTAGGTATCAATAAATTACATGGAATAAAACCAACTATCGGTTACACTTACTTGGGTTGTCAGTCCAGGTTTGAAGAGGTCATCATGCGACGATGTTGTATTGGCTACACTAGATGCGCTCATGCGTACCTATTGAAAGGTGAGGATCCTCCGCTTTGTACCCCTTGTGATGAGAGAACCACAGTCAAGCATGTCTCGCTTGACTGTGTTGATTCTCCATCATAAAGGGATAAATACGTCAATGTAAAACGGTTAAGGGTCTTTTTTAAACTGTTAATTTTCATTTAATTATTGGCTTTTTAAAAGAAATTGATTTAATGAATGAATTGTGAATAATATGTTCTGTACATATATGTATTTTAATTATTGGTAGATTTGCTTAGTAACTTTGACTGTTAGTGTCAGTGCCCTCGAAGGGGTTGAAGTAGCGTAAAATGATTGTCCTCCTGAGAGGGTACGTAAGTCCCAAAACATTCAAAGTAGACTTTTTCCCACACCAAGTTTTAAACGTAGTATTTTTGTTCATTTAGATTTCGGCTAAATTATCCTACAATCACCAGCGGCTGAAGGGATGATGTAAAATCCAACTAGGGTCCATGCAGGTAGCAAAGGTACTGTAAGTCCCCATGGACCCTAGTATGGTGATCTAACTTCAGCTGTTGGCGATCTATAGAGCCCGTGTTTTATATTGTCTTGTCTTCTTTAATTGGAATGTTTTAGTTTTGTTCGCTAGTTTTATATTCATATCTGTGATTATCTGGTATTTTTACTGTCCTTCGTTGGCAGAATTTTATAATTTAACTTAAATCGTTGAAATATTTATAACTTGCTTTAGTCACGATATGGCTGAAATATTGCCGATGTGACTTAAAATCTTAACTCACTCACTCACTCACCTGATTCCAGCACAGATTCCAATAGATTTTCATATTGTATCAAACGCTGAAGACAGATCCAAGAGGACGAGAAGAGAATCGCAGCTCCATTAGTGTCAATGGCTTGAAGTAGATCATTCTGGATATGCAACAGACCAGTTTCTGCGCTGTGTCCTGACTTGGGGCTGACTGTAGAACTTCTCCAAGGTTGTGTCTATAGATATGATCTTGCAGAGCTATGACTCTATATATCACTCCTTCGATTATTTTAGAGAAAAGGGCCAAATTTGAAACAGGCCAATAATCTGAAAGAAGATGTTGATCAAACGTTGGCTTTTTCAAGAGGGACTTTAACAATGCTTCTTGATGCACATGTGGAAGCATCTTCTCTTAGTGATTTATTCGTGATGGTAGTGAGAATGGGTGCAAGAGCATCTTGACACTGTTTCAGAAGCCACGTGGGAAAGGAATCAAGGGTACATGATTTCGTAAGACTCTTCATGAGAACTTTCTCAACTGCTTCTTCACAAGTTGGTGTGAATTCAGACAGTGGTGCCAAAACAGGAGGGTCAGGCACATCATGTTCTGTCCTTGCATCGCTGCTGTCTTCAACTATACTAGCCACATAAAGAAACTGTGCATTGTCAAGAAATTATCCCAGTTGATAAGTACGATAACAATGTCAAAGGTACATATAAACTTTAATTGAGGGATCATGAGACCATAACAAGTCGGGAGAATTTCAATTGAAAAGTCAATCACAATGACGTCACGAGTCAACAAGCGGGACAGGGGTCAAACGACCATGTCACAAGCTCAATAACGGGTATGTCCATCATCGGCATTGAGAACAGCAGTACATCGACGACGCATAGAGCCTATCAAACGTGCAAGGAAGGCTTGTGGGATATCACGCCAGATATCTCTCAAGTTCTGTTGCAAGGTCAAGGACGTTATCTGGAGAATGAGGAAGACGGCGTAGACGTCGATCCATCTCGTCCCAAACATGCTCTATCGGGGAGAGATCCGGTGAATTTGCAGGCCAAGGCAGTAAGTCAACGTTGTGATGTTGCAAGAAATCCATAGCAGCCCTTGCCGTATGAGGGCGGGCATTGTCCTTTTGGAATGTTAACCCAGGGCCATGACGTTGCAGAAAAGGAACTGCCACAGGTCGAAGAATCTGATCCCTGTAGCCCACACCAGTTAAGTTGCCCTGAACAATCACCAAAGGAGTTCTTTGGCGTGCTGTTATTCCACCCCAGATCATTACGGAATCACCACCAAAGCAATTCCTCTCCAAGACACAGAGCCTGTGCATAATGTTCTCCCACGCGTCTATAGGCACGCTGACGTCCATCAGTATGGAAATGGTAAACCTGGACTCATCTGTAAAACAACATTTCTCAACCAAAACAAGGGTCTGCGGACATGATTTCGGCACCACATTCGGCGAGCTTGTCGATGACGTTGTGTCAGGATAGGCCGTATGGCGGGACGTCGTGGTCTGATCCCGTGATGACGTAATCGTTGTCGAACTGTGTTAAAGTGGATACGGCGAAGTCCTAGGATGGTTCGGGCAGTCAACACTGCAGTCTGAAACCTGTGGCGAAGATGGGTCACCCTTATCCATCTGTCCTGTCTTGGTGTTGATACACGTGGACGTCCAGAACGTGGCCGATCGATGACGTCATTTGTGTTCTGGTAGCGTCTCACCAGTGCAGAAATGGTGCTCCGGTGGCAGTGGAAATGTGCAGCCACTTGTCGTTGAGACACATTCCCCACGGACCATCCCAATGGCCTCCTGACGTTGTGCAGACGTGAGCCTTGGCATGCTATGCGTTTCAGTAGCCGCTTAATTTTTTGAACGATCGCAGGGGCAGGGGTTGAGCTTTCCAAAGTGACAGTATTGTGTGGCATTCATTTGCTCTGTTTCTCTTTCCCGGAATGCACGTGAAACAAGGTATTGCACGTCTCAAGGACGAACCCACTGACGTCATGGAACGTGGCACGTGCATGCATGTTGCATACATGTCACTAATCTCTGAGTTTAAATCCTTATGTGTCTACACAGGTTTGATAATTAAATATTTGTATGCACAGTTTCTTTATGTGCCTAGTATATATCAAATGTTTGCGGGTGTTCTTATAATTTTGATTGCCGATGGGACGTTAAATATTAACTCACTCACTCACTCACTCTTATAATTTTGAGAAATTGTTGTTTTACTGTTCTGCAGATTAGTGTTTTTTTTCATGAAAAGCAGGGGAGTTGGTTACCTAGTACACAAAATGTCCTCAAGATTCAAGTCAATGAGCTGATTCCATCTTTGATGATCGTGATTAGTTCAATTTAAGTATGACTGGCGAAAATATATTAATCTTGTTTTCTATGTCAAACCCATATTTGTTATGAGTGATATAATGTATACAACAGTGTGGCTTGGGTTACAATAAGCTAATACGTGACACAGGTAACGTTCGGGACTGTGTAACGTTTTGACATAAGACTTAAACAGAAAATATGTCCCCGTTTATGTTGTCATGAGACTTTTTATTTTGTATTCCATTTACTTGAAGTTGGGGCTGCACAGCTACACACACGTAACAAGAAAATCTAATTCCAGTAAACCCAGATGCCTCGGTTGGTGACCTTAATGTTTCTGTGTCGTTCCCAGTTACCTGTGTCAACTTTAAACTTGACAATGCGCACGCAGATGTTGACGTCATCAACACTGTCCCCAAAGATGTCTGCAACTCCAACATCATTGCTGCCGCCGACAACACATCTTCATGTCATATTGGTGCATCATGGGAAGTGGTGCCAGTCAAGTGTCTGTCATGCTACACAGGCCTACCACAACAGTACGCAGTAGGTTGACGACAATCTGTAATGTATACAATAATGTTTAGAATGGTGACATACAGGACAAGACTGATTACTAATAAATTATTTTTAACAAAAGAGTGAAATAAGACCATATATCTAAGAACCAAATGGGATATCGTTATGGTATATCTTCGCAGTTTTGTTACAGTGAGTATACACTTGAGTATAAATATATATTTGTAAATGGAAACAGGCTTTTTTTAAACGTACGTTTTTCAAACAGTATCCATACGCGGGACATACAGAAGAATTGACCTTTGACCTTGCTGCAGGGATGAAGCTGAAGATGGAAGTGTCAGGAGACAGAACTCTATCGTAAAGCTGACTGTAGCAGATTTGTTTTGCACCGAATATTTTAGCAATATATTTGCGGCGCATATATATTTCTGTTTAATGACATCTACAAGCGAGAATAGGTGGCAGAAGGTCCCATAGCATGAATATAATGACGAAATCTCCTCAACCAAATTGAATGATGTGGCGTTTATTCAGGGTAACCTTAATAAAATGAGGACAACCAAATCCTTGACAAACAATGCCAGATTTGAATAAACTCCCATAACGTTTCACAGTATCCCTATATAACATTTATGATATTCTTTTACCAGTGCATCTGCATAAATACATGTACATGTCGTTTGTCACAGCAACGAAGTCTGGATGGTAACCCTGACCGAGGACATCGTGTATGTGTTGTCTTTGAGATGGAGCACTACCCCAACTGTAGCCATCTTCAACACTGGGCAAGGTGGAGAATATGGAGTAGAGGAAAGACTGTATGATCTTGTCAGTGAACAACATCAGCAGCTACCGTATTGAAATCCACATCAGTCAGTCTACCTTCGAGGTATGCAACGTACACATCTTTAAGATGAAATCTAGCGCATGTATGGTGATAGATACAGTAACTGACTTTGTTCAGATAAAAAGAACAAACTAAATGCTTACATTTTTTTTTTTTTGCTGATAAGAAAGTTGCACTTCGACTTCAAGACGATTAAACAGACACCACACATCTGACTTTCTGATTCAGGGATATCAAGTTTTACTGTTTTCTCTTTCCAGACCTTTGTTGACGGAGATCTGTGGATGGCCAACCAGATGCGTCTACCTTTCATCGATGTCCGACGTGTAAAAGTTAAAGGCTTCACCGCACTGCACAGTTTCCACGTTGGCTATGATATGTGCTGATTTCAAGTGATGACTTTCGAATTAACGAGAGATGTACACTTTAGCCTCCTGTAATCATCAACAATGTACTGTGCACGTTCAACATTTAGGCTACATAGAGACATATGTCACATATCTGTGCTGTAGCTGTTGTGCTGTGCTACTTTCAACTAATGTTATGTGACTCCTTAACTAAACTGTTAACCTGGAACCACATCCAGTTCCTTAAAGGACTGACACCAAGAAACAACAAAGAACGTGATGTAAGTAACATTTGTATTCTAACAGTAACAACGTTCACAAATCAATACACGTCACTTCAAAGATATCGCACTAGCGGTTCACGTCACTTCAAATATACTGAGTCAAAAAAGAAACTTCACAAAATGTAATTTGAAAAATAACGAATAATTTTTCTCTGATGATACATCTATGTATCCGAAATGGGATCCCTACCTTTCGACTCTAGAAAAACGTTAGCAAAACCCACTCAAACCCATCCATTCATCATGCAAATGACGTTAGTGCCAAATCAGGTTTTTGCACGTGCAGTCGATCACGTGATCTTCGCATCGAAGTTTTCTTCATATGCACGTGTTTGCATTGGCCTCAAGAATTGAAAAAAAAACACCAGTGGCACGGGTTCGATTTCAGTCTTAGTTAGTTATGTTCATTTGCATGATAGAATGTTTCCGTTTTGCACATTATAATTAGTTGATAGTTAATACTATATATTCTCTGTCCCAGTTTCCGGAAGCAGTAGAGCATGAAGAAGGGATGTAGTGCGGGAGGTGAGGTTGGATGTAATTGAGTAGGTGAAAGAAAATAGACGCTAGCAACTAAACCTTTTATAAAAACAATTATGCCCCAAAACTTCTGAATCCCCTTTAAACGCTTTAAACCCCCAAAATAAATAAGCGCCCCTTTTCAGAAATTAATATCTATTCTTAAGCATAGGTAGGGGGATAAAAGGGGGTTACGGGCGGAATCAATTGGTGTACAGCTTGTCAAACTTTCAATCCACATCGGTATCACAGCCCTCACAGGCCACCACACCTGGGTACAGTCTGTCCAAGTTTTATAACCTGGCTAATGCCGCTTCACCATCAGCTTGTCGGCCGCCGTAAGTCGGAGCGACGGTATTGCACGGACTTCACGTGGTTGAAACTGACACTGGGAGAGCAGAAGCTTGGCTCTCTTTACTACGAAGGCCTAGAGGGGTCAAAAATGTTTTTGAACTTTCTTTTTTTAAAATTGATAATAACCACTTTTGTTCTGGTAATTATCACTCCGCGACACATCAGGACTGTTGTATCTTTGCTCCTGACGTATACCGATGCATGTCCCCACAGTATCTCTATCAGCAATACTCTGACCCTTGAAATTTGGGTTTTGATATTCACGTCTGTTGTTCAACGCCACACTCAGCAGCAATATTGAAACTCTATAGCGGATAAATATATGTATTTAGACTTATCGTGATTTGCTTTTCTTCATTGACAAATCCAATGACCTGAAAATTCTGTTGTCTCTTTAAAGTTTGGCATTACGAGAAAAAAACTATTCCAAACTAGGGCCAAATTTATGACAAACCTGCAATTTGGTTCCAAGTTTTAAGCATCGAAGTTCATGTGAGAGGAATGCTCAGGGACTCGAACTCGAAATGGGTCAGAATAACAGCCTTTTATCCTTACATCCCTCTGTATCGCGGAAAATAAAAATCTTCAATATAACTTATTTGTAAGTTCCAGGACTGCAAATACCAATTGCGCTTTTAACGGCTTTCAGTATATATGTGTTATGAATTGAGAAAAGTTTTAATCACGACATGGCTGGAAATATTGCCGATGTGACTTAACTCACTCACTCACTCCACTCATCACGTTCTCATTTAATTATACTAACTGAAAACCTCCTGATAAACAAATCATCGAGAGACGTTTTACAAAACCAAGCGGTATGACATATATAAAGCCCAAAATGGTAAAATATTATCAAGAAAAACTATTTCATGGAACTGGACACCAGGTCACGACGACCTAGCACGTGCAGTCAGTGAGTTTGCCACTGAGGTAGCGTCTCCTGGGTGACGCAGCACGTGCAACATTTGCTGTGGACGCTCGCCCTCCCACCAGTGTCGAAATAAGATCTCAGTGATAGGCCTTATTTTGGAAAATAATGTCGAGTAAAACGTAAACGCTTTCAAAAAATGGAAAACGTCTTCATTTTTCAAAAGGAATACTAATTTTGATAAGGCTGAATATCGCCGATGTTCAAAAGGTGAGTGAGTAGAGTGAATATTTAACGTCACGTCGGCAATATCTCAACCATACCGTGACGAAAAACAAGGTTGAAGAATAAAACCTGTCGGCGATGGACAGTAAAGATATTAAGTAGTATAATAGATGTGAATATAAAACTAGCATGTAAACTAAATGCAGTATAAAACGTTGCGGGCTATAGATCGCCAACAACCGCAGGTAGATCACCATGGGCCGATGTTCCAAAGAATATAAGAAATGTTTGAATACACATATAAATAAAGATAAAATGAATTGATCAGCCCCCTAAAGAAAGCTAGAAAATACCAAGCAAAGAGTAACAAATGTAATAATTATGAGAATTTCCAGGCTGCAGTGGTAGAGTTAATGAAGAAGATTTGTTCATGTCTGTACAATGAGAAAGTGTTGTTATTTTAATATATATTGTTTATAGATAATGTAGGCTATTTATAAAAATAACAATATTTTAAACCTATCCTATCTCAATGATTTCTCTCTGCTTCCGGCACTGAGTGGAACGAATGTAAACTTCTCCTGAAGGTCTCTTCTTCTGTCCATACACGCGTGTTCTCCCAAGCTGCCCTCCTTCGGGACAGGTCCACTAGTCCCCTCACGAAGTGTGCAGCATGCTCCCCTACCAACCCACGTGACTACCTCTGAGTGGTCAGCCCATGCCCTTGACGCACGGCAGAGTGGACGTGTTATATCTTTGAGTTTGTGTTGTGTTTCGTATCATGGGGAAACCTGATCCTCCCACTGAAAGCGTAAATTTTGCGTTCAATGTAAGAAGATTTTCCTACTTGGGAGGACGTACATTTGCGTGTGTTGATTGTGTGGGTCAATGTTCCTGTGAGGAACATTATGATAAATGCCTTGGGCTTGTCTATTGAGGGACTTCAAGACATAAAAACGGGTCTGTACACGTAGGCTTGCAGATAGGGCTAGAAATACTTCTACTGGCCACCATCCTTCCTCTACTAAGAAAGCTCGTTTGGCTCGCCCCACACTCACGGCTCAAGTCGTTCTAAATCCTCGCCTCCCGGAGCTGAGGACTTTATGGATGTTTCTGTCTGATCTTCGTACTTTTCAGAAGACGTACGACAGCTTTTGGGACGCTTCCCTCAGCTTTGATCGGCGTCTCAGAACCGTTCTGGGGGTGGTTTGCAGTTGAGAGAGATCTTACCGCACCCCCAGGCTTCAGGGGAAGCCTTTGATCCACATTTTGGTGTCTTCGGGGATTTCTGGTTTGTCTCAGCCCATGACTACAGTCAGTTCGATTCACCATTCTGATTTGACCAGTTTCTCCTGGTCACTCTAGACGACCCTCCTGTTCGATCTTACTTGTCCGAGCGGTCTAAAGCTCTCCTTGCCGTTCGAGAGGTCTCCTCATGGTTCTGTTACGTAGATCGATGCTGTGGTCCTTGTTCACCCCAGCGAACCGATTTTTCATCTTCGTTGTTCTTAACGATCAAACTGTGGCTAGACTATCTCAAATTGCCAATACCAGGAGAAGGTGGTGTAAACTAGCTAGGTTCAATGCAGGAAGCAAATGTACTGTGAGTCCCCATGGTCCCTAGTATGGTGATCTACCTTCAGTTGTTAGCAATCCTATAGCCTGTGTTTATATAGTATTGTCATCTATAGTTAAACTGTTTTTTAGATTTATTAGCTAGATATAAATTCATATCTGTGATAATCTAGTTATTTTACTGTCCTTCTCGTTGACAGGTTTTATAATTTACCCCATTAATTACTATATATAACAATTTATATGGCTGAAATATTGCCGATGTGACTTTAAAGTTTTAACTCACTGACTCACCATAGCCTGTGTTATATTGTATACCTGTAAAGATCTGGGCTAGAATTCATATGTAGTAACCCATGCTTGTCACAAGAGACTAGTGGGATCGAGCGGTCACGCTTGCTGTGTTTTGGAAGACACGTCATAAGTCCTGGGCTTAATAACGGAAAACGACCCCTCGTTGCCAACAAATATAAACCCAATAATTAAGCCCAGGGACTTGTAACTGGAGAATGATTATATGACAGTAAAATGGAATGAACTTTGATATAAACGGAATAATGGCAGAACACCCTGAACCACAAACAATCACAAAGAACGCACAGTTATAAACTTTCTTCAGTCTTTAAAATGTCCGTTTAAGTGTGCATTACTGAATTGAACCGGTCTCAAAGTCAAGTTCAAGCTCCTTGTCAAACGGATCCTCCTTGGCTTCATCGTCGGTGTCATCATCTCCTGATTTGGCTTCAGGTTCCTCCAGACCAGACTGGAAGCCTGATAAATTGCGCAGTCTTCCATTGATAACTTCTTTTCTGGGACCTTGCAAATCCTTGCTCTGCAATTCCACACCCATTCAAACGACCTTTTACGGTTGCTTCCTGAACTGATGAGACCGCAGTTGATATCATTTTGAAGGGTTTTCTCATGGGGAAGGCCTCTTTCTGTTTCCCGTTGGAGTATATTCCTGTTCTCCATTGCCACAGTTCTCTGAGCTCAGCTTTAAATGGTCCGTTGACTCCACCAGACACCTCGAGCTGGTTGCAAACATGGTGTAGGTTTTGGCGGGATGATTTTGGTCACAACATTTAGTGACTTCAATGCTTTGATGACTGATTCCTGTTGTTGCTTTTATGACTGTCCATAAATAGCAGAGATGGGATGGTTGCAAAGAATTTGCCCCTGGACTTCAAGACACTGTCAATCCAATTTAGCAT